TTTATTTTTTCAATTTTTTTTTTCGTTAAAAAATTGCTTTTTATTAAGGATTTTAGTAATACAGGATGATTCATACAAAACTACGAGCTTGGTCAACTCTAATGCAATCCAAAATTCAATCTTTTCGATATAAAACTCATTTTTTAAATCATACTTTAATCATACTTTATTTAGATTAAATAAAAAAACATATATCAGATGTTCTCGCTAAATTCCACATCAGAAGTAAGTATTGGAAAATTTCGTAATTTACTTTTTTTTTATAAAAATAAAATAAAGATTTTCCCACAATTGACAATTGTTTTTTTTTTCAAAAACACTGAATTTTGATAAAATTTCACAAAATTTTTGAATAATATGCCAAGGAAATTAAAAATACAAAACTGTTCTTATTTATATAGGTTGTATTACTGAATTATTTTAACTTCTTAAAATTTTTATACATCTATTAAAATCAGCCTGCATACGAATAAAATGAAAATTTTGTATTTTTTCAAATTTTTTTGGTAAAAAATTTACTTTTTATTAAGTATCTTAGTAATACAGGATGATTCATACAAAACTACGAGCTTGGCCAACTCTAATGCAATCCAAAATTCAAACTTTTCGATATAAAACTCATTTTTTAATCATACTTTACTTAGATTAAATAAAAAACATATACCGAATGTTCTCGCTAAATCTCACATTAGAAGTATTTCGTAATTTACATTTTTTATAAAAATAAAATAAAGATTTAAGAAAAAAAGTTAAAAATCTCAAAACGGCTCAACTTAGGTGTGGGGAAGGTCAATAGTAATTTTTATAGAATCACTGGGGGAATTTAAAAACGCAATAAAAATTATAGCTTTGTTTTTAAAATAGCAAAGTTGATATCCGCTTCCGGTATAACCGGAAGTCCACCATCTTGAAAATATTTTCACTGAGCAGGACCTAACCGATTATGGCTGTAGTCAAAATTTTAGATAAATATCATTGTTAAAACACAATTTTTCTAATGTGAAATTTTGCCGGAACACCCTGTATACACAAAACATACGAAATTATGGTTGCAGAGTAGCCTCGAGCATGTGTTTTGTATTATAATCTCATAGCAAAAGTTTGGGTCAACAAAAAGCTCTCTTGTTTGTACTAAGTTATTGAATTAAAAACAAATAACAAGTACTCAAATATTTATGTAAAAATTTAAATGTTATGTAATATCAAAGCTCAAAGACAAACAGATATCGATTTGTGTCATCAAATAATCGCTTCGAATTACATCTGTTGTCTATAACACGCATACAAATGTACAAAAATACCAATTCATTCTGCTTAACAAAATTAAATATAGCTGAGAAAAATGACACGCAATTGCTTTAATTAATTTAATGTCAAACACATGCAAAAGTCACGTGACAAAAAATTGTAGTGCACTTAAGTGCACTCAAAGTAGGTCAATTTGTAGGGTTTTAATTGTTCTTTAATTTGATATATCACTGGTCAAAATGGCGCAATTAATAACCGAGTTATGGCTGTTGACACAATTTTGGGCACATCCGGTATAATAACAAAAAAAAAATTTGCTATGTAAACGGCCATGATTCAGTCAAGTGTGACAAAAATGACACACAAATGCTTTAATTTTTTTAAAACCACAACAAAAAAATTGTGAATATGAAAAATTTTTTCGATTTTTGCTAACACTAAGTAGGTTTCATTTGGTATATTACTTGTCGAAATGGTGCAATTAGTAATCGAGTTATGGATGTTGTTACAATTTTGAGTACACCCGGTATAATAATAAAAAAATTACTGTTCAAACAGCCATGATTCAATTAAATGTGACAAAAATGACACACAATTGTCTTAATTATTTTAAAATTTTGAATTTTGAAAAAAAAAATTGATTTTTGCTAACACTAAGTAGGTTGTGGGTTTTTAACGGTCCTTTCATTTGGTATGTTACTTGTCAAAATGGCGCAATTAATAACCGAGTTATGGCTGTTGTCGCAATTTTGGGTACACCCGGTATAACAATAAAAAAATTACTGTTTAAACAGCCATGATTCAGTTAAATGTGACAAAAATGACACACAATTGCTTTAAAGTATTTCAAAATCACGTGACAAAAAAATTGTGAATTTTGAAAAAAATGTTTGATTTTTTCTAGCACTAAGTAGGTTGTGGATTTTTGATGTCCCTTTCATTTGGTATGTTATTTGTGAAAATGGCGCAATTAAAAGCCGAGTTATGGCTGTTGTCGCAATTTTGGGTACACCCGGTATAACAATAAAAAAATACTGTTTAAATATCCATGATTCCGTTAAATGTGACATTA